CTCAGTGAAGACACTTTCCAAACCTTGAGCCACCACTTCCAAGTCATACCTGGGACAAGTAACCCCACTTAAGATCTCTGAGCCTTAGTTTCCTCACATGTCAAGTGGGAATAGTGTACATGCATCATGGGACAGAAATGCTGTAAAGCATTCAGTCCAGTATTTGGAACATGGCTCTTCTCTCCCTTATCCTTGAATACTCTTTATTTTCATCCTATTTAATGAAATCAAACTAATCCTCAAATACTTTCATTTACTCTGTTTCCCCCTAGTCTTGTTGGATCAAATTCACACCCCACAGGTCGCCTACCATTTGTCTTTCCTCAACCTGATCCTTCCCGGCTCCCAGGAGCAGCAACCTGATTAAAGCCACGCTGAAGTCTTTCGAATTGGTCAAGCAGGACTCCTGGCCTCTCCAATCACCCCACAGAACACCATGATGTTTCTCTGCTCTAAATCATGCGCATCCTTTCAGGTGTGTTTAAGATAGACCTCTACAAACTTTAGATAAGTAAGAGCACGGTTCTCTTTCCTTTACAATCCCATACAAACTTACTCTGTGTTACCTCAGAATCTTTCCAGATACTTTATTTGAACACAAAGCACTTTTACATGAGCAAACTAGTCCACAATCTTTAAGGTCACATATTATGTTTTTAGCTTCTAACTACAAACAGTAGATCTGAGACACTTAAAATCTTAGTAGTATTTACTTCAACATGCGCGCACACACACACACCTGCAAAGTATAAAGCAGTAATCATTGTTATGGATTTTCCTACTTAAGAAACAAAAAAACTAAAGTCAAATGACCAAGTAAAATATTAAGCAAATGCCCAATGAGGACAGAATTCCAGACTTCCTAAAAGTACAGGAGAAAATTAAAACCAGCACAACACATTGTTTTGAAAAAACCAAACAACAAAAACATGTCAAAGTGCTGGGGATTTAGCTCAGTGGTTCTGCCACCTGCCTTGTAAGTGCAAGGACCCGAGTTTGATCCCTGGTACCAAAAACAAAACAAAACACGTCATAGAATCTTTTTTTTTTGAGACAGAGTCTCACTAGTCCAGGCTGGCCTTGGACTCACTATGTAGTCCAGGCTGGTCTCAAAATCTCAGTGACCTCCTGCTTCAGCCTCTCTGGGTGCTGGGATTACAGGCGTGCACCCACCATGCCCAGCTACTTGTCAAAGAAATCTTTATTTAAAATAGAGATCTGCTGGACGTGGTGGTGGCTCCCTAAATGAATTTCAATGTTCTTATCTACAGGATAAAAGGGGCCGGGGATTTAGCTCAGTGGTTCAGCTGCCTGCCTTGCAAGCACAAGGACCTGAGTTTGACTCCCCCCATATCAAAAAAAAAAAAAAAAAAAAAAAAAA